TCCATAGACACTGACATACCCATATATCTTTTTTTTTGAGACGGTCTATGTTGCCCTTGGCAGAGTGCCATGTCATCACAGCTCACAGCAACCTTAAACTCGGGCTTAAGTGAATCTCTTGCCTTAGTCTCCCAAGTAGCTGGGAGTACAGACACCCACAACACCCAGATATTTTTTGGTTGCAGTTGTTTAGCATGGTCAGGCCAGGTTTGAACCTGCCATCTTTGGTGTACGTGGCCAGCACCCTACTCAGAGCTACACTTACTGAGCTGCATATCATATCTTTTTTTTTTTTTTAATTAGTTTATTTTTTCGTCCAGGACTGGGTTTGAACCTGCCACCTCAGGTATATGGGGCCGGTGCCCTACTCCTTTGAGCCATAGGCGCCACCAGCATATCATATCTTAATCTACCCAAATCAGTCTTAAAAACTAGGAAAGGAATAGGCTCAGAAAGAGGATCTAGGGTTGCAAAGTGAAAACAAGGAAATGACAATGCATAATTGGTTTCCAGACCAGCATCAGCATTCCCTGGGAACTTCAAGAAATGCACACACTGGCTCGGCACCTGTGGCTCAAGCGGCTAAGGTGCCAGCCACATACATCTAAGGTGGCGGGTTTGAATCCCCAGCCCGGGCCCGCCAAACAACAATGACGGCTGCAACCAGAAAATGGCCACAACATGGCCAGGCGTTGTGGCGGGCGCCTGTGGTCCCAGCTACTTGGGAGGCTGAGGCAGGAGACTCGCTTGAGCACAGGAGTTGGAGGTTGCTGTGAGCGTGATGCCATGGCACTCTACCCAGGGGGATAGCTTGAGGCTCCATCTCAAAAAAAAAAAGAAATGCACACACTCAAGTCTCATCCAAATGTGCTGAAGCAGGCAGAAATGGGTTGGATAACAGCAGTCAGGAGATCCATACGAATGTACTGTTGAAGACCACAATTGCACCATTTTCAGCCTAGAGTCTACCCAGGACTCCTTTAGGTTATAGCTATCTAAGGCTGTTGCCTGTGGTCCTCTGGGTTTTCTTAGTCAACCTAAGCCGAAGATGACTAGGTTTGCCACTTCAGCTCACAGCAACCTCAAAACTCTTGCGCTTAAGCAATTCTCTGGCCTCAGCCTCTCAAGTAGCTGGGACTACAGGTGCCTGCCACAACACCCAGCTATTTTTTGGTTGTAGTTAATGGTTGGCAGCCCTGGGCTGGATTTGAACCTGCCACCTCTGGTGGATGTGGCTAACACCTTAGTGGCTTGAGCCACAGGTGCTGAGCCTTTTTTATTTTTTTGAGATAGGGCCTCAAGCTGTTGCCCTGGGTAGAGTGCTGTAGCATCACAGCAACCTCCAACTCCTGGGCTCAAGTGATTCTCCTGCCTCAGCTTCCCAAGTAGCTGGGACTACAGGTGCCCGCCACAATGCCTAGGTATTTTTTTGGTTGCAGCTGTCATTGTTTGGTGGGCCCAGGCTGGATTTGAACCTGCCAGCTCAGGTGTATGTGGTTGGCACCTTAGTCTCTTGAGCCACAGGTGCCAAGCCTTTTTTTTTTTTTAAGACAGAGGAGTTTCACTTGGTCACCCTTGGAAGCGTGCCATGGCTTCTTTGCTCACAGCAACCTCAAAGTCTTAGGTTCAAACAATCCTCTTGCCTCAGCCTCCCAAGTAGTTGGGATTACAGGTGCCCACCACAATGCCCAGCTATTTTTAAGAGACAGGGTCTTGCTCTTGCTCAGGCTGGTCTCAAATTCACCGGCTCAGGCAACCCACCCGCCTCAACCTCCCAAGTGCTGGGATTACAGGTGTGAGACACTGAGCCCAGCTAGGAAGCATACTGTATGCAAGGGAGCAAGCTACATTCTAGCATTTTGAATTAGTTGTTTTATTAAGTAATTATTCATAAGTATTAGTACTGGCTCGGCGCCTGTAACTCAGCAGCTGGGGCACCAGCCACATACACCAAAGCTGGCAGGTCTGAACCCAGCCTAGGCCTGCCAAACAACAATGACAACTACAACCAAAAAACAGCTGGGCGTTGTGGCAGGTGCCTGTAGTACCAGCTACTTGGGAGGCTGAGGCAAGCGAATCGCTTAAGCCCAAGAGTTTGAGGTTGCTGTGAGCGGTACTCTATCTAGTGCAACATAGAGTCTCAAAAAAAAAAAAAAAGTTATTAGTACTTACTAATGGCAATTTATTTGGCAAGTGAAGTTGAAAACCTCTATAGCATCTCTTAGTCAGGAAAGAAGTCTAGACAATAGGCTCAGATAGTAATTTAATTAGGAAGTTAAATAAGTTGGGATGAGGTGGAATAAATCATCAGAAGGCTGACATGGGACCCCTGGCACCGGCAGTTGTGGCAGTGTGGGGTCAAGAAGAAGAGCAACCCCCTCCAAGGCAAGGCACAGACTATTTTGGCAAGGAGGATGAGGGGTGGAGCCCCATTGTCAAAGGACATGCTTAGGGAGGCCAGTTGGGATGCATGCAACAACAGGGGGGACCATTCAGGCACCTGAACCATGAGGCTGGGCATTGGCAAGGGCTGAGGGCTCAGGCTGTTCGCAGAGGCTTGTGGTTCACCTGGAATAAAGACAACAGAGGATGACACCTGAGAACCAGGTACCCTGCCTTCCTAGGTTCCCATTTGCACGAATGGGCTGTAGGGAGGACACACATGTCCAGGAGTCTTCTTCCTAGGGCTCTCCCTCAGCCCATTTCCCCAAGCAAAAACATTAGGATCCATGTATAGTAAATCACTGAGCCGAGGAGAGGCGGGCAGAGCCTTGTTTGTACACTCTTTAGCTCTGAATTGTCCACTGCAGGCCTCAAGGAAGCTCCAAGGACCCCAGCTTCAAGGTTAGTGGTGTGAACCAGTGTTTTTTTTGTTTGTTTGTTTTGAGTCAGGGTCTTGCTCTATTGCCCAGGCTGGAGTACAATCATAGCTCATTGCAGCCTCGAACTCCTAGGCACAAGTGATCCTTCTAAATAGCTGGGACTACAGTTGCACACTACCACACCTGGCTAATTCTTAAATTTTTTTGTGAAGATAGGGTCTCACTACATTGCTCAGGCTGGTCTTGAACTCCTGCCTGGTTCCAAGTGAATTACCCATCTTGGCCTCCCAAAGTTCTGGGATTATAAATGTGAGCCACCGTGCCCAGCTTGATCCAGTGCTTTTATTTATACATGTATTTAACACATATGCAATGCTTACTATGTGTCAGGCAGTGTTTCAAATACTTTGCAAATATTTATCAATACTCTTAATAATTCAACAGGATTGTTGTATTATTCACCCAATTTTAAGGTGAGGAAACAGGTATAGAGAGGTTAATAACTTGTCTAAGATCACAGCTAATAGGTACTGGAGCAAGTATTCACAAAACAGTGGGTCCAGAGCCTGTTCTCTGACTTCTACCAGAGGCATCAAGAAAAGTAGTGATCAGGAGGTAGAGACCAACCTGAGCAAGAGTGAGATCTCATCTCTACTAAAAATAGAAAAACTGGCTCAGCACCTGTGGCTCAAGCGGCTAAGGTGCCAGCCACATACACCTGAGCTGGTGGGTTCAAATCTAGCCTGGGCCCGCCAAACAACAATGATGGCTGCAACCAAAAAATAGCCAGGCATTGTGGTGGGCGCCTGTAGTCCCAGCTGCTTGGGAGGCTGAGGCAGGAGAATCACTTGAGCCCAGGAGTTGGAGGTTGCTGTGAGCAGTGATGCGACAGCACTCTACTCAGGGCGACAGCTTGAGGCTCTGTCTCAAAAAAAAAAAAAGAAAAAAGAAAAGAAAAACTACTCAGGCATCATGGTGGGTGCCTGTAGTCTCAGCTACTCAGGAGGCTGAGACAAGAGGATCTCTTAAGCCCAGGAGTTTGAAGTTGCTGTGAGCTATGATGATGCCAAGGCACCCTACCAAGAATAACAAAATGAGACTCTGTCTTCATTGGGTTTTTTTGTAGAGACAGAGTGCTACTCTATCGCCCTCAGTATCACCTGATTCTCTTGCCTCAGTCTCCCAAGTAGCTGGGACTACACGCCTGGCTATTTTTTTGTTGCAGTTTGGCCAGGGCTGGGTTCAAACCTGTCACCCTCAGTATACGGGGCTGGCGCCCAACCACTGAGCTACAGGCGCCACCCTGAGACTTAGTCTTCAAAAAAAAAAAAAAAAAAAGAAGAAGGAAATAAGAAAAGCATTGATATGCCTTGGAATTGTGACCAGGCTGCCACTAGTGCCTTGTACTACTGGAGTGACCACAAGCACTGGCTCCAAAGACAGTTGGCCTGGGTTTAAAGTCCTGATTCACCAGCTGAATGAGTGAGAACATCTTGGAAGTTCAGTTTCTTTACCGTTTTTTTTTTTTTTTTTTTTTTTTTTTGAGATAGAGCCTCAAGCTGTCCCCCTGGGTAGAGTGCTGTGGCATCACAGCTCACAGCAACCTCCAACTCCTGGGCTCAAGTGAGTCTCCTGCCTCAGCCTCCCAAGCAGCTGGGACCACAGGCGCCCGCCACAACACCTGGCTATTTTTTGGTTGCAGCCGTCATCGTTGTTTGGTGGGCCCAGGCTGGATTCGAACCTGCCACCTTAGGTGTATGTGGCTGGTGCCTTAGCCATTTGAGCCACAGGTGCTGAGCCAGTTTCTTTACTTTGTAAAATACATGCTAAGGGTAGTTTGTTTTAAAGCAAATGACTCACTTATGCATAAGCTTAGCACTGTGCCTGGCACATAAAAAGTGATTAATAAATGTCAGTGACCCCCTAGGCTGGATGCTAGTCTAGGCCCACTGCATCACTTAACACAGGAACCCAGCAGTTCTGTTCCACAGTCCCCACCTCAGAGATTGTCACCTGGGAGATGCTGACACCTGTGAGTCTCTCCACACTCTCTGGCAGGCGGCTTAGGATGTCCAGTACTTCTCCAGTCACTTTGGCTGCCCCTACGGTCCCATTTCCACTGGACACCAGTGTGATCTTATTGGCGGCGGTCAAGGGACCACTAATCTCCTCTGCCACCTGGTCGATGAGAGATGTCCACTCAGTGCCCATGACATGAACACACACCTCATGAAACAACTTACTTGAGTTTTAAGATCCTTGTCCTACTCATCACCCTCACTTTGATCTAGTTAATAATTCCCACCTCTAATTTATGGTCCCCTAGCCTGCATCTCCCCAACCCTCTCATCTCATTTCACTCCACCCTGTAGCCCCTGGTTCTGGTCCTCCTCTCCTGGTGCCCACACAACCTCCAGACCTGAGGCAACTTCTCTAGCAGCATGTCCAGCTGCGCAGCCTCCTGGTACATCTGGAATGCTTCTGCCTTTTTGGTCATCTGCTCAGCCTCAGCTCGCGCTCGGGCCCCTATGGCAAAGGCCTCAGCTTCCCCACGCATCTGAAGATTACAGGATACTTGTGAATTGGGAAGAATAAGAACAGGAAACCCTAGCTCAAGTAGCAATCCCCCACTCCTTCCACAAGCCAGAAGGGGCTACCTCCTAACTTACCCGCACAGACTCAGCTTCTGCCTCTGCCTGCATAATGAGCTGGGACCTGGGGACACAAGGAAAGTGAAGGGAGGAGTCCAGGAAAAAGGCCCAGCACTGGGGAGACAAAAGCTCCTACAACCCAAGTTCCATAGAGTCCAGTGGTGAAAGCTTCAGCTCTCCACCTGGGAAGGAGGAGAACACCAGTGGCAAAGGAGCCAGGATAGGGCACAGCGGAGGGGGCATTTACTTCTCTGCCTCAGCGAGGCGCTCCAGCTTGTAGCGTTCAGCTTCCGCGGGCTTCCGCACCCGGGCCTCCAGCTCCTTCTCTCGGCGGGCGATCTCCTGCTCCTGCACTGCCACCTGCTGGGCTCGTTCCACTACCTGCACCTGCACCCGCTGCTCCTCGATCTGCTGCTTAGTCTTGGCCACCTGAGTAAGGGAGGGTAGTTCAGAGTCAGAGCTAAGAGCAAATGCCTGGGAATGAGGGAGAAGCTAAGGCTCCAGGGTGGGATATAAAATAGAAGTAGGTACACGATGTTGTGTCCCGGGTGTGCTCAGTCAGCCCAGTGGAGTCCATTTCTTGTACAGAACCAATAGACGGCCTGGGGAGTGTCCTGATACTCCTCCTTACAGCCAATGTCAACCTTAGGGAGTTCCTAAGGAAGCCCTGGTGTCAAAGCTGGATAGGGCTGGGACCTTGTCCATGTTTTCCCTCAGGGGAGATCCCTCTTATGAGCTCCGATTTAACTTATTTTCCCACCTGTTTCTCCTTCTAGCATGAACACCTTGAAGGCACTGAGGACAGGGTGGCCATCTTCTACTTCCACCATCTTGCCCAAATCCATTCACTTACCTCATCTCCATCTTTGCTGCCATAACCTTAGAGAAAGCCACCATGAGCAGCTTTAGCACTGACTACTGCAACAGATTACTGACTTTTTTCTTTTTACTGGGATGGGTGATCTTTTTCACTTTTATCTCATGCATGTGGTACAGATTCGGAAAGAAAAAGTAAACAGTGAGAAGTAAGGCTTTTTCTTACCTCTTTCCTCAAACCATCTGGGTCCCTTTCCCACAAGCAACCGCTGTGAACAGCTTCTCATATATACTTCCAGGGACACTTTAAACTTTTATAAGAATATGTGTATATAAAGAATTCCTCTTATTTAAGTAAATTTCATTTTCTTATTCCTTGTATTGTCAGGGATCAGAAAGCTCTTGTCAAGATGCTGGGGATGAGTGGGGCGCCTGTGGCTCAAAGGAGTAGGGTGCCGGCCCCATCTATGGGAGGTGGTGGGTTCAAACCCAGCCCTGGCCAAAAAAAAAAAAAAAACCAACAAAGAAAGAGAATACAATGTAAAAAAAAAAAAAAAAGATGCTGGAGACTAGAGGTACTAGGCAAGGAATAAATAACACTTCCTTACTGTCCCATTACTCAGGCCCAGTCAATTACACCATCAACCCCATAGGTCTCATCATACAAGTGATGGTGACCTGCCCTCTACTGGGATCATCTGTTCACTCTAGAGAGAAGCATGGCTCTGGATATGGCACTCTGTACTGTCTTTGACCCTAAATTTTCAAGCCTGTTCCAAACTACAGTAGGTGCTCTCTACACTAGTATGCAGAATCACTTCTCTGCTATGTCCCCTAATCCAACTATTTTTACTTTGTATCTTTGTTTCTTTCTTTGGTGAAACTCAACTTCCAGTAGCTTCCTCAGAAAAAGTATGAAACAATTTTTTTTTTAAAGATCTTGCTGGCTCAGCGCCTATGGCTCAAGTGGCTAAGGCGCCAGCCACGTATACCTAAGGCGGTGGGTTCAAATCCAACCCCAGCCTGCCAAACAATGATGGCTGCAACCAAAAATAGCTGGGCATTGGGGTGGGCGCCTGTGGTCCCAGCTCCTTGGGAGGCTGGGGCAGGAGACTTGCTTGAACCTAGGAGTTGGAGGTTGCTGTGAGCTGTGATGCCATAGCACTCTACCCAGGGGGACAGCTTGAGGCTCTGTCTCAAAAAAAAAAAAAAAAAAAAGATCTTGCTTTTATATTGACTACATACTGCTATGTTGGAATTAACTCTTACTTTTTCTTTTCTTTTTCTTTTTTTTTTTTTGGAATTTCCGTTGAAATTTTGAAGGCATTGCTCCATGGTCTTCCAGCTTCTTAAGAAATCTGAAGTCATTTTGATGCCTGACCCTTTGAGATCTGTTCTTTCTGTCTGAAACATTTTATTTTGTTGTTGTTCTCAGTGTTCTGAAATTTCACACTGATATGTCTGAAATGTAGATGCTTTTCATTCATTGTGTTGTGTACAACCTTATATCCTTCAAAGCAGACAAGCACTTCTGAATTATTTCATTGGTGATTTCCTCTCATATTCTTTATTCTTTTTTTTTGTTTTTGAGACAGAGCCTCAAGCTGTCCCCTTGGGTAGAGTGCTGTGGCATCACAGCTCACAGCAACCTCCAACTCCTAGGCTCAAGCAAGTCTCCTGCCTCTGACTCCTAAGTAGCTGGGACTACAGGCACCCACCACAATGCCCGGCTACTTTTAGGTTGTAGCTGTGATTGTTGTTTCCACTGAAATGGAATACCATTGTGTTGTGTACAACCTTATATCCTTCAAAGCAGATAAGCATTTCTGAAATGGAAGACCACTAAAAATCATGCCTGAAAAAAACTTAACAAACACACATATTTTCTTCATAAGGTACATTACAGTTTTGTGCTAAGGGGGCACTGGGCAGCACTTCCATATTATTCTTGGGGGCCATTAAAAAAAAAGCACTAAAATGCAGTAAGTGGCAGTAAATGTACCATGAAAATGACAGTTTCAGTATGACAGTTGAAACTAGAAGGTGGACTACGTGTTTGACCTCACCTGGGAACTACAATCAGGCAACTTAGATCTTCATACTGACCCTGTCTGCAAATGACCATTAAAGTGCTGTATTGATTTTGGAGTTATCAATAAATTTTAGTAAATAGGCAAAATTCTCAAATACAGAATCCATGAATAAGAAGGATCAACTCTATCTCCTTGTAATATCAAGGGTTGCCCATATCTCACTTTCCAGGATTCAAGGCCCAAGTTCATGTTTTCCTTCTGTACACCCTTCTTTAATCACCAGGGCTGCTGCTAGCCATTCTGCTCCCTTTTGCAAATTAGAAAAAAGTGTCCCTTGGGCAGCGCCTGTGGCTCAGTGAGTAGGGCACCAGCCCCATATACCTATGGTGGAGGGTTCAAACCCGGCCCTGGGCCAAACTGCAGCAAAAAATAGCTGGGCAGTGTGGCAGGTGCCTGTAGTCCCAGCTACTTGGGAAGCTGAGGCAAGAGAATTGCCTAAGCCCAAGAGCTGGAGGTTGCTGTGAGCTGTGATGCCATGGTACTCTACGGAGGGCAAGAGTGAGACTCTCTCTAAAAAAAAGGAAAAGGTGTCCCTTCCTCTGCATATATGCAGACCCCTACCAGAATACCCCACTTGGTGAATGGGACATGGACCAGATCTTAGTTCTGGTCTACCCTCTGAGCCAAGTACCCTTGCACAGGGAACAACTTGCCCCCCAAATAAGACCAGTCTAATTAAGCATATTCTTTCTTGGCCTTTTCTTTGCTTTTCAGCTGAAACTGTATTTTTTCCCCAGAGACAGGGTTTCACTCTATTGTCCAGATTGTAGTGCAGTGGTATTCTCATAGTTCATTGTAACCTTATATTATCGGGCTCAAGAGATCCTCCTGCCTAACTGGGACTATAGATACATGCCACCATGCTCGGCTAATTTTTTATTTTTATTTTTTGTAAGGACAGAGTCTCATTATGTTGCTCAGGTTGGTCTTAAACTCTTGGCCTCAAGCAATCCTCCTTGGTCTCCCATAGTGTTAGGATTACTGGCATGAACCACAGCAGCTGGGCTTGGGTAAAACATCTTAGTTTTGTTTTTGTTTTTCAGTTTTTGGCCTGGGCTGAGTTTGAACCTGCCACCTCTGGCATATGGGGCTGGTGCCTTACTCTTTTGAGCTATAGGCACTGCCCAACATTTTGTTTTTTTAAATGTCTCCTCATTGTGGCAAAAATGGAGAGCCAGAATAAGAGCAAAGTTAGAATATAAGAAACAGTGGTAGCCAGAGATGGGGAGCTGAGAAGGATGGGGAGCTGAGAAGAATGGGGAAGAGGCAAACAACAGCTTGTTTATCTGCCTAGTACAGTGGTTCTGACCTGAAGTTGATAGGCCAGGTCAGCTTGTGCTCGGCGGGTGTTGACCTCAATGTCATATGCGGCCTTCTTCAGCTCATAATCCCTCTGTGCCTTGGCCATCTCAATCTCACTCAGGTACTGAGCAGACACCTTTTCCTGCTTGGCTTTGGCCTCCTGCCCAAGCAGAGATCATGTAGAAAGTGTCAAGGCAGGGAGAAGAAGGCCACAATCAGAGCTTGCCTCCATCAGGCTTCCCTGCCTCATCTATTTCCCCTGCCAATCCAGTCCCACCAGCCCCTCTTCAGTTGTGCCCTCCTCTCCCTGTTCCCAAGCAACGCCTGTCTGTCTCACCCGGATGCCAGCATCTCGCTTGGCCTCTGCTTCCCCAATCCGAGCATCTTTTTGGACTTGGGCTGTCCGAGCCTTCCCCAAAGAATGCAAATAGTCCTGTGAGAGAGGTGGAGAAATCAGAGTCCTTAGGAAGGTTTAAGAGATAGGAACAAGGACACAGGAAAGATCAACTGCTTAGTTTTACCTGGTCATCATGAATGTCCTTTAAGGTGTAGCTAACCACACTAATGCCCATGTTGACCAGGTCTGATGAGGCCACTTTGAAAACTTGTTCTGAGAATTTCTGCCTGTCCTTATAGATCTCCTATGAGAATAGGATGGTGGAAAGAAGGAACTTGAGTTCTCAGATCCATTGACTCTCACAAACTATCTTGGTCCCCTCATTCTGGCATCTCTTTTATATCTTTCCCTGTCCCCAGGCCTACCTCCACAGTCATGTGGGCCATAATAGCCCTCTGGTGGCCCTCCAGTGTCTCCAGTGCAATATGGGCAATCTCAGCCTCTGTCTTCCCCAGGAACATCTGGCAGGCAGCTGCCAACATCTCCTTGTTCTGCCCTTGGATTTTTACCTGTAGACAGAGACAGAACAGGGGTAAGGAGGGTGTGGTGGAGGTCTCACAAAGCCAGAGAAGCAGCAGAGAGAGAAAGGAAGAGTCAAGGGACTTGAGGGTTCCTGGAGAAGGTGAGACTAGCAGAGAAATTTCTTTGCAGGTAGGGATGGAGAAGGCCATGGTCAGAAAATTTCTTAATGTCTGGGAGAGAAAGTGATGGGAAGTGGACTTTAGGGGAAAGGCTCTGAAAGCCTCACCTGGGCAATGCCAGTGACTGAGATGGGGACCCCATGGCGAGTGTAAACCTTTTCACTCTTGACATTGAGGGTCAATGTGTTGAGAGAGATCCTAAGGGGAAAACAAGGGACAGACAGTAAGAAAAAGAGGAAAAAGAGAAAACGGAGGTTCCCTCTTCCTCATTCTCTTTCTACCTACCTCTGGATTTGCTGGATGCAGGGCAGAACAAAGACACGTCCTCCAGCCACCATGACTGGGGGGCTTCGGCAGAAACCTAAAAGGTGAAGGGCAGTGAGCAGCTGTGGCAGAGCTGGAATGTGGAATGACTGAGGAGTTTGCAGGTGGGATCAATCCACAGAGGAGAAACTGGGAGCTCTAGGGGAACCAGTCTGTGCCTTGGAAGGGTAGTGGCTGGCAACCCCCAAGTGGGCAGCTTGTGGCCATTACGGGGGCAGAAGCTTGGCACTGAGGAGCTGGTAGGGAGGAGGGGCAGAGGCCAGACTCACAGGGGTTTTGGGGTCACTGGCTGGGAAGAGAGTAATACTTACCAGAGACCACCATGGCCTCATTCGGGCCACACGTGAAAAACATGGTTCAGGTTGGGGCTAGAGGAGGAGAGAAAGCCTTTGCAGATGGGGAAGAGGCGCTGTGGTGTCCACAGGAGCCAATCCTTTCCCTTTCCCGTCAGGCTTGCCTAGTCTGTATCTGACGCGGCCCAGGCCCTTCCACACCCGCGGTCCGCAAAGCCTTTTCCCTGTGCAATCCCGAAGATCCCCAGGGACCCTTCCCCCGCCTACTTATGGTCACCCCCTTCCCCTCACCGCGTCTCCGCCTCAGTACAGACGGTTTCTCCTTTTATTTGTTAAAGCTCGAGGCGCTCAACGGCCCACAGACCTTTCCCCACCCTCTCTGCTCCTTGGCAGCCGCAGGCTCCATAGCCTCTCTACCACTAACCTTCTCGGACGCGGCCACGGCCGGGCGGGGGTCTCAGGAAGAGCGGGGGTGTGCAGGGACCTGGAAGCCGAGCAGGGGCTGTTCGCTGACTTGCCTTTTTGGATGCTGGGAGGGAGCCAGAGCCCAGTACCCGGCCGCACCCTGCTGTTGCTGCAGACGCGACCCCGCCCCCCGCAGCGGACCAACCTCCCCACCGCCGGAGCTCAGGGCCCGCCCCTTTCCCGGCAAGCACCGCTCGGGTCCGCTACCCGCCGCTCCTAGAGCCCTGCGAGCTATGGGGTGGAGCTCCCGCTCCGCTTCACACTCCGCCCTGGGGCGCAGAACGTGACCTCCACGGGTCCTGCACAACGGGTAAAGAAGATTGCCACATTTCGGGTTGGCCACGCGGTAACTAACCCGGAAAACCGCAGACCTGGCAATGAACGACTGCATCCGGCAACCAGATGCTGGGTTCCGCGACTTTGGTAAAATGGGCTCAGACCCCCGGGACGAGTGCCGGCTGGGGACTTAGCCACAGCTAATCCTGTCGGTTCTTGGCGCCTGAAGGCGGGGGGGAGCGGGGAGTTGCCACTTGGAAAGATACACTCAAATGACTGCTGACAGTAAATCGAATTTATTTGTGTTCACAGAACATACCAGGGGACCGATACAGCCGCCCCGTGACAGCCCACCAAGTCCCAAACCCGCAGCCTCCCCTCAAGAGGCAACTTTGAGGAGGTCAAAGGCCAGGAACTTATTCCCAATGTTCCAGAGAATCCTCACACAGCAGACCCATGGAGTCTGCTGGAGGACAGAAGTGTCCCTCCCTAAACCTATGACCCGCCACCAGACTTGACTCCCACCCTGGGCGTCCTCCCCCACCTCGAACCTCCCCACTTCTACTCAGCCCCAGTTCCAGGCGCTCTGCCTCCACCAGTTCCTTAAAGCTCAATAAATACCATTTGCAATTATAGCAGGGAGGAACATCTTCGCACCCTTGCATAAGTTAAAATAAATATTACGTACACCCCTCCGTCACCCAGGAGGACATACATAAATACATATAAATATTAATTAGGAGCAATGAGAAATAAGTTAACGACGCTCTCCTTCCCACTGGGCCTAACCCGGGCGTGTCTGTTGCTTGGGTCTCGGCGCGCAGCGGTCTCGCTCCAAGCACCGGCGGGCATTTCCGCTGTAGTGTTGAGTTGGAGTTGCCTCTGAAGTCCCAGTTTGGGATACGGTCTCGCGCACCAGGTACGCCTGGTGTTTCTTTGGTTTTTAGGATTCTTTTTAGGGGTATGGGAAGTCACGGTTAGAAGGCGGCTGGGTGTTGCTGGAGAAAAGTACTGAGGTCCAGAGCGTAGTCCGAAGGCTCCGAGGTCAAGTTAAGAGGCTCGAGGACCGGAGATTCAGAGGTGGACGCCGGGGACACCGCGCTGGATGCGTCCTCCGGGGCCAGGGGCGCGGGCGCACCTTCTTCAGCCATCAGGATCTGGCAGAAGATGATGGTGAGCAGGAGAAAGAGGAGCCTTTTGGCAGGGTTCGGTTCCTCTACTGGTAACTGGCGCCGAACCTGGAAAGACAAGGAGACAGATCAGGTCAAGCCCCCCCCGGAATCAATCGTTTCCCCGCGGCGCCAGGAGTACTTGTACCCCAGCTGCTCACTTCGGTGACACTCACCACTCGAGGGTACAGAACCCTACGGCTGCGTTTTCGGTGCCCACGAGAGGCAATGGGGCGCGCGGCGGGGGCCCGTGCGGGCTCCGGGAGAGGGTCGAAGGTGAAGATCTCAGGACCAGAGCCCCGCCGGGGTCCCGGGCTGGAAGGGACCGGGGTCGGGGCCCGTAGGACAGTCATGGTGGGCAGGGAGCTGCGAGAGTGACACATCGTGCGCTGAGTGGAGCGTAAGGCCGAAAGCTGAGCTGCACCAGGCGGAGCTAGTTAAGTAAGCCAGAGAATTGGGCGGGTCCTTCTAAACTCCTCCTCTCGCAGCTGGGGAGCAGTTGGCTGGAGCTGGCTGGAAATTCCGACGTTTAAACAAAGGGAGGGGGTGGAGACTTGGCCTGTGCAACCCTAGGCGCTGACCTGCACATTGTGTGTGAGTCGTGAGTGGGATGGGTGAGATCCCGAGCTACAGGCACATGTTGGGGCATGTGGCAGCTGGAGAGAGGCCCCTAACAGCTTAGGAGACTGTTCGGCTGCCAGGTCCTCCACAGATTCCATCACAGGAAGACTGGAGGGCTTACTTAGGGATATCTGGCCACCCTAATACAATACTGACCCAGCAAGGTCAAGGAACCACAGTTTCGCACATTCATGCTCTTGTAGGTATGCATAGAAAATATACACAGCAAGAAAGAGGTCATTGGAGAAATAGTCAGGAAGACTAAGAGAAATGAACACGCTAACACGCTTAGCACACTGAAAACACATGCATGCACACAACACACATGCGCATATCACAGGGATGTCGCTATGTGTGCACACATGCACCCAGCAAAGAAGCAAAAACCGCATAGGGACCATCCAGCAAAGCTACTCATTTGTGTGCCTGCAGAAATATTCACATAAAGGCTGGTGGAGAGGACGAAAAATACACCGGCAAGAGGGTAGCAGCCATCCAGATGTACCATTTGTTTTACTGGTCAAATAACAAAACTTAAGTGAAGAACATTTTTTTTTTTTTTTGAGACAGCCTCAAGCTGTCCCCCTGGGTAGAGTGCTATGGCATCACAGCTCACAGCAACTTCCAACTCCTGGGCTTAAGCGAATCTCCTGCCTCAGCCTCCAGAGTAGCTGGGACCACAGGCGCCCGCCACAACACCCAGCTATTTTTTGGTTGCAGCCTTCATTGTTGTTTGGCTGCCCAGGCTGGATTCGAACCTGCTACCTTAGGTGTATGTGTCTGGCGCCTTAGCCACTTGAGCCACAGGCGCCGAGCTGAAGAACATTTTAAATTGTGAAACATTAGACAAATGTTGCAGTAATAGCAATTTTTCTTTCTTTCTTTTTTTTTTTTTTTTTGAGATGGAGCCTCAAGCTATCCCCCTGGGTAGAGTGCCATGGCATGACGCTTACAGCAACCTCCAACTCCTGGGCTCAAGCGAGTCTCCTGCCTCAGTGTCCCAAGTAGCTGGGACTACAGGTGCCCGCCACAGCACCTGGCCATTTTTTGGTTGCAGCCATCATTGTTTTTTGGGGGGCCCGGGCTGGGGATTCGAACTTGCCACCTTAGGTGTATGTGGCTGGCGCCTTAGCCGCTTGAGCCACGGGCGCCCGAGCCAATAGCAATTTTTCAACTTAAGACAGAATCGACACATTTCCATAATTGCCTTGAAGATAGCTGCTATGGACACAGAATTTAACATATTTTGAGCACTCACCTGTTAAAGGTGCAGTTGTGAGTACTGCTGAGTGAAGAGGCAAGCCAGATAAAAGTGACACTCAGCCTGGAGGGCTTTTACCTTCTGGCCTGGGGAGAGGACCATGGCCAGATTTTTTTTCCCCTTCAGACAATATGGCAGAACCCTGAGAACTCTCTTGAGGGTCCTAAGAATACTAAAGACCAAGTAGGGCCAGTCCTGTACTTTGGGAGGCTGAAGTGGTGAGGTAGAAAATGACTTAAAGTCAGGAGTCAGAGGTTGCAGTGACCTATGGTCATGCCATTGTACTGTAGACCCGGTGACAGAGTGAGACCCTGGCTCAAGGGTAGAAAAAGAAAAAGAAAAGAAAAAATTAAAAGATCGAGTGCTAAGGGGGATCCGAAAGAGCTAGAGTTCACATCTGTCTAATTAATCAGGGAAGGCTTCATGGAAGAGTGATATTTGAGATGACTGTTAATGGTGGGTAGGATATGACAAATTCAGATGTGGAGAATGACTGTAAGAATGGAATCAGCAAAGGCCTTGAGCTGGAAAAGTACAGGATGTGTTTGGGGAATCACAAGAAAAACAATCTCAGAGTAAGTTTCCCATAAAGGAGTAAGTGGGAAGTAAGAATGGCTGGAAAAGGAGTTGGGCAGAGTGGGGAGAGTTCAGCTGCCAGGCCTGGAGCCTCAGTTTGACTCTAGACCATGAAGCTTGTGGGTTGCAGGATGAAAAAAAAGGAGGAAGGCTTGGTATCTATAGCTCAGTGCTTAGGGGGCTGGCCACATACACTGGGGCTGGTGGGTTTGAACCTGGCTCAGGCCTGCTAAACAATAATGAAATAGCCGGGCATTGTGGCAGGTGCCTATAGTCCCAGCTACCTGCGAGGGTGAGGCAAAAGAATCGCTTAAGCCCAAGAGTTGGAGGTTGTTGTGAGCTGTGATGCCATGATACTCTACCGAGGGCAACATAGTGAGACTCTGTCTCAAAAAAGAAAAAAAAAAAAGGGCGGCACCTGTGGCTCAAGGAATAGGCTGACAGCCCCATATACCAGGGGCGGTGGGTTCAAGCCTGGCCCTGGTCAAAACTGCAAAAAAAAAAAAAAAAAAAAAAAAAAA